CCTTCAGATTTTTTATCGCAGTTCTTCCCTGCACACCCAATTGAACAGTTCATTAGAGCTAGCAACAGGATATTGTTCGAGGTTCCATCAAAATTTTCTTTGCAACGTCCATGTACTAGTGTGTTTTAACTTGCAAAAAAAGTATCGATAATAACATCTATAAAGTAAAATGCTCACATTACCCCTCACAAATCATATCTAATAATGACCTCAAACATAGCACCTTTATTATACAACAGTTATTCAGAGCAGCAGTTGGTGCTGATGGCCCCAAAAAAAAAAAAAGTCAGTATTAACTTTTGGAAAAGCATTCGGAGCAATTAGAACCCGAGGAAAACGAGCCAAGCTCGAGTTGATACATTCCTCTGTTTCTTTGGCTTTTATTATACATATTTAATTTGAACTCAATTCGTTTATATTTGAAACAAACTTGATTTTGAGTTCAAGCTGTAACCAAATCAAATTGCTCAACTTATGGATCAATAAATTTGTGTAAAATTGAATTTTAAACACAAAGAATAAAATAAAATTTCAATTTGAACTTAAAATTTTAAATTTGAATTTAAATTTTGAGCTACTTATCTCTTCTCACCCTTAATTACTTCCCAGAATTTTTAAAAATACACTAATTCACTCTACATAGAGCTAAGATAAGATACATGCTCAAAGTAACATATATATCTAACATACTTCTGATGAACAGGACCCAAGATATATATATATATCTATTGAGATTATTGTATAAATCAAAAAAATGAAGTCAATTATTTTTTTATAAAAAATGAATCAATTGTCAATAAGTAGATTATCAGTCATCAATTTAGTGATGAAGGTTCTTTTTTTATATATATATAAAATAGAAAAATTATGTTGTTTTATCATATTTCTAAATTAAGTTAAAATTTAATCTCTTAAAATAGTGATTGTCCTAATTTAATCATAAAAAATATAATTGAAACCTTCTCCAGGTACAATTCTTCCTCTACCACCTAAATAATCGACTTATTTTTCTCCATCGCAAATTTCATCAGCACTTTTCCTAATTCCTTCATGCCAATTCGAAATAAAGGAAACCCTATCATGATCGTTATTATGTTTATAAGAGAAAAATATATAAATTGGATCAATACCTTACGCTTCTTCTGCGATCTCAAGAATCGACCCCTTGACGCCCGATCGGGGTAGTGGAGACGACGGCGCAACGATAACGACACCATTCTCCGGAGAGAATCCTACTGTTTAGAAATCCTTGTTTGGAAGAAAACCTTGGTCGGAAGCTACCATTCAACAACAATGCTGACATACTGTCTTACATAGGACCATTATCATAATTAAATATATAAAGTGAAAATGATTGGAAGAACTTTAAAAAATATTTTTTAATTT